CGGCCCGTCCTGCCCAGCCGGGCCCGGGCCCAGCTCTGCTGCTCCCTCCACGCAGCTGCTGCCACATCCAGTGCCCGGGCCCACACCCGGCCTTCCCGCTGCTGCCCAACCTTGACCCTCTCTGCTTCCCCCTCACCCGGTCTGCACTGCATCCCGACTGCAGGAGCCCACTCTTTCGCTCCTAACAAAGCCGTCCAGTTTTACCCGGTGATGTTTTCCCTGGGCAGGACTTTGCCGGGAGTTCTTTAAACATGTGGCTTTTTTTCCCTGCAGGTTCTAGAGATAACATATCTCCTAGCACTGACAAACACGAAACCTCTCAGTTACAGACTAAAACCTGCTCTGATCTTGACACAGAGAAGAAAACATCTGCCGTATCTAAACATGTTCCTGAATTCTCCAATAATGAGGTTAGCCTGCAGGACAGCTCACAGGCAGAAAGCATACAGGCTAGTCAGGAAATCCTGGGCTGTGGAATTGTTAGGCCTGCCCCTGCGGAGAAAAAAACCCAAACCTCCAGAAGCCTGATGAAGCTGAGGAGACGGACGAAGCCTCTGGTATCAGAGGAAAGGGAATCAGTGCGTGATATGCATCTAATCGATGCTGACGAAATGGTGAAAAAACAAATTGCCAGTACAGAGGAACTTCAGTCACCAGTCTTCAGGCGAAGCAGTCTCTCGAACACTGAGGAAGATGCTCAAAGGGCATCCAGACCAGCACTTGCACAGAGAGAAGAAAACAGTTTCACTCCTCCCAATGCAGCGTTGGGAGTTGTACGAGACATGCTTGATGGCAGTGTCCCTGCAGGAGCGCCTCAGCCGTTCCCGTGTGTGCTGAGGGACAGCAGCGATGTCTGGCAGCCCAAGTCCCCGAGTGCTGTGGCCGCATTTGATAACTGTGAGCCTGCAGAGCTGTGCTCAGAGCACGGTGACTCTGTTTTACTTGACACCAGTGGTGATAGAGGAAAAGAATCCTCCAGTATAATAAAACAAACGGACGGCGAGAGTATGTGTGAAGATCAGGGAGAATTACACAGGCTCTTGGATTTAATGTCAGAAAATGAAGTATTGCCTGCTGACGGAAATAGCACTCTAGCTAATGAGAGCAACGGCCGCGAAGGAAATCCAAGTGACGCTAATCACTTAAATCCCTTTCCTACAGATCTTGCTCTGGGCAATGTTGAAGAACTGTTGGAGAATCAACAGCTTGAAGTTCAGTCAAGGGTTTCTCACCCAGAAAAAGTGACAGCTCCTGAAAGCACACTGAACTCTTGCACGGTTGTTGAAGGGCTTCTCTTTCCGGTTGAATACTATGTCAGGACAACTCGACGCATGTCTAATTGCCAGAGGAAAGTGGACCTTGATGCTGTAATTCTCAGCCAGCTGGGCAGAAGCAAGAAAGGTCAGCGAAGCAAGTGCAGGCAGAAAGATGCAAATGCAGATCGGCCCTCCCAAGAAAGAGTCGAAAATGATTTGGAGTCAGGGGTTCTGCTGTTCCCTTTTCTTGGTGCAGAAAATGATCCAGCAAATACAAGCAGTCCTCAGAAATCTCTTCCTGCGTCCAGTGGGAGCAGCACTTCACTTGGATCGATTTCTCAAAACAGTATCACTAGCACAAAGCGAGATCAGAGACAATCACAGAGGAAACAGAAGGGAAGAAGAAAGTCTACCTGCAAGCGCCCCGTGCATCAAGTGTCACAGGAACTTATAGAGAGTTTGGATCTCGTAAAGCCGAGGGAAAGCAGTAGTCTGCTGCCAAGTGAGTGTCAGAGTGAAAAGGAAAACTGTGAGGCTAATCTTGAAAAGTCATCCTCAGGTGAGAGGTTGTCTGCTGCTGCAGCTCGTGGGTCTGGAGAGACAAAAGTCACTGGTGCTGTACAGCCAGCGGGTGCTGATCCTCATCCTGCAGGAAGCCAAGCGCTTGGCAAATGCTGTAAGACTCTGTTGGAACAGGGTCAAAATCCACATCAGGACAGCGGTTCTCTGATCCCAGGGAATGAAACTTTTGCCAGCTGTATGGGAGATCTGGAAGCCAACTTAACTGCGGGTCAGGCTGGTGAACATCTAGAGGATGTTAAGGAGCAGCATGTGCAAGGAGCCTGCACGGCTGAGCAGCTCCTAGCAATTAATGTCCCTCGGCACCGCTCCCTGCGTTCCTCTGTGAGACAGAGAGCCAGTCAAGTCTCAAAAGGTACTTCATCAAATATAAACACTCCCTAAAGCCACAGCCTGAGAGCGAGGCAGGGAAGCGTCCCAGTGAGTGCTGTTCACGCCCTCTGATACTTTTTTATTCAAGAAAATCTGATATGGGTTAACTATTTTTATTTTTTTAATGAGAGGTTTTTTTAAAAAATTAGCTCATTGTGGTGCCCATGTTCCTTGAACAATTCCAGAAACTTCTGCTTCAGCACAGTGATGGGGAGTGAACAGCAGTGCACGGATGAGGAGTGAGGCTGAGAACTTATTACAACTTGCTGTTGGAGTGAATGTTGTGCACACTAGACCTGATTTTCCAGCAAACGGATGCAAATCTGTTTCTCCAACTAAGTCTGCCTATTAATGATATTTTTTTTTCCCTGCTGACAAGTATGAAACACAAAGGGTAGCATTACAGTCTGAGGGTCTGTGAATATTGTGGAAAGAGAAAGTGTTGGGAGAAAACCAAACAAACCAAACTGACCAAGCACTTGGTCAATTCTGGCAGTCCTTGGCAATGATGATATTTTAGCTGAAGGCTTGATGTGTAGCAATTGCCAAGTGTCAGATCTTTCCAGGAAAGGGCCACTTCCACATGTTAAGACGGATATGGCTTTTGAGGTTTTTTTTGGAAAACAGAGTGACGCTCTGGATGAGAGATTCTGAAACGGCTAGGTGCTGGTTAGTTTATGATGTGATGTTCTCTCTTGTATTCTTGTGGTTTTCCTTGTCTAGATGAGAGCGAAAGAGGACGTAGCTATCCAATGGGTGCAGAGGGTCCTGCTTCTCTTGGCCTCCCCGCTACGGACCATGATATTTGCGGCTCTCTCTTCTCCTTCCGCAGTCTCCAGTGGCTGGGCCCCAGACTGGGTATCAGGGACTTTCACTTACCGGATGAGGAATTTGGACTACTGAAACTTGAGAAATTAGAATCTTCCCCTGTGAATGACTTGGAGGTTTTTGTTCCTAGTGTGTTTAAAGACGGTGTGGCTTCAGAGGACACACAAGATGCACAAACGAATCCAGAAGAAAAAAGTCTCAAGAGTAATCTGATTTCGCGTTTCAAAAATGGATTGCCCAAGTCACCTCACTTAGAAAGCCCAGCTTCCAAGGAGGAACTTTCCACCCATGAACTGCTATTCACTCCTGTGGGGACTGTCTTAGCTGGTGCTCCCACTCAGCCCGAGTCTCAGATTTCCTCATCTGTTTTCCCTGTCCTGGGTGCAACCCCAGCTGTTTTACCACCAGTATGTAGTGAGGTCTCCCCCCGTACACCTTCTGTACCTCCCTCGCAAGCGAGCCTGCACTCCTCCAAAGGAGCATCTGCCCGGGTCGTGGATGATGGGGAATGCAAGGACTCTGCCATTCCCCTGCCCTGTGGTGCAGGATCTGCTAGAAAAGAGGAGGAGCAAGGAGCAATGTTTCCTTTAGAAGCTGAAAGAGGTCCTGAAAATAAATCTGATGAGGCCGTGGCCTTGGAGAAGCATCAGCAATCAGAGAGCAAAGAGCAGAGATCCTGTAGAGCTTCTCCTGAACAGGTAACAAGCTGGCCAAGGGTACTAAACCAGCAGTCTTGTGGGTGAATTCCCTCTTCCAGCATCTCACCTGACTTCAGGGGAAAGACCTCTTTGCATGCCAGCCCTTCATGCTGTCTTTTAGCTGACTTAGTAAATGGTTGGTTTTCATCTGTTGCCTAAGGTCTTTTGACCTCAAGAGCAAATTCTTTAAAATCCTGCTTGATGAAACCGGAGATGCAGGTTTCAACACTTACTGCGGGGTACATGTTTGAAACATGTATATGAACAAAAATTTTCTGGTACCCACATAGTGTTGGTCTACCTTAAGGAAAATTTTCAGCTAGGCTTTGGTAAAGGAGATTAAATTACTTGTATGCGGGATGGCTACTGAGAGAATGACTTTTCTCTGAAGGCTGAGTGTTGCAAAGTGGTGATAAAAGACAATTTTCAGGTGAAACCAGGAAATAACCCATCTGAGATCTCTTGGTTTTCAGAGACATGCAAGTATGAAAAGAGGTGCTCCTACCGTAGCCCTCTAGCAACTGCATGCAGAGTGAATGCACATTTCTGCCTCATTCTTGCAGGTGCTGAATGTAATTTCAAAGTTGAATTATCCTCATTCTTTACTTGTTTGTGCAGAAAAAAGATGTAGCAGAACGGTTGACTCCAGCACTGCTTGATGGCCTGAGAGAAGAGAGCTTGCAGCTTGTATCAAAGCTAAAGGTGGGGTAATCGTTTACTGAGTCAGTAACAGCTCTTTAGTATCGAGTTTAACAAAAAAGCAGTAACAATTGCAGAATGGCTGGTTGAACAAAATAGATTGCTGTTTAATTTGATCAGTTCTGTCTTCACCTGTGGTAAAGCATGCTGAAAGGTTAGACTGCTGTTTGCCTCTTTTTGACTCATAATGGATTTTGGTGTTTGTTTCTGAATAATGAATGTCTAAACACATGCAAATGTCTTAACAAACAGAACTGCTGCATTTTTGTGCAGCCCTAGGTAAAATGATCTTGGCTCTTGTACCCCTGTTGCCTGCCCTGTGGCCTCCTGTCACCATTTCAGGCACTAAGTAACAGCAGGGAGGAAATTTTGTGAGGGGCTACAGCGCTGCCAAATCTGCGCGTTGATGTTTGCACCCTCCTGGAAGGGAGCCTTGCTGGTCCAAGCCACAACCAAGGCAAATCTCGCCCAGGACTGTTTGCACAGCTGAGCCACGGGGTCTTCCTCCTGCAGTGGTGTCCTTCCACTCCCCTCCATTTCATAGTGGGTAGAGAACAGTTGGCAGGCAAGGAAGCAACATCTGTGGGAAAGCCCACTAAAGTCCAAATGAGCTTCCAGGGGCTGGGTCACCTCTAGCTTTTCCAAACCAAAGTGCAAAGTTTTGCTCCAGAAGCAAGCCTAGGGGGGTGGTTAGTGTAACCAGCCAACAATAATATGGCTGAAGCTGAAAACTTTTTCACGAGGGAGAAGGCCCTTGCTTTGTTAAATTTTAAACTGAGCCTGTGCTACTGCAAGTCCTGTCTCCCGTTTGTGCAACAAGGGAAGCAAGTGCATGACTGCAGGTAGGTGGCACTGGGGCTTTGTTGTGGCTGTGCCATGGTACCCCCAGTCCTGTCCCAGCACTGGGCTTTGCTGGGCCCCTGTCCTTTCAAATGACAAGTGATTTTTGTGAAGTGAGCCAACACGTTTGCTGCTCTGAAGGTAAAACCCAGATGGCTTGTTTTCCTTGGTGCTTTACTGGCAGATTACTCACAATGAAACTTTGTAAGCGTTAGGTTTTAGCCTCAAATTCTCATCACGCTGACTGTCAAGCATTTTTCTCAGGCTGAACCTTCAGGTTAGATAACCATGTCTGTCTGAAGAAAACCAGCGCTATTTTGTTTTGGACAGGATTCTTCAAGTTCCTGCGCTGTGGATGTGAGTACCATGTGGTGGGAGGCAGCCGGCAGCAGAGAGCTGTGTGTGGTGACTGCTTGCGAGAATTCTGTCTCCCTGTGGAAACCTCTGGCATCCAACTGCTGGGGAAAGGTCTATACTTGGCAGCTCGGAGAGGTGTGAACGCAATCCTTATTTCTAGAATTTAGGGAAACTTTCTTGTCCCACTGTGTTAGTTCCCAGGATACAAGGAGCTTGCAGTCATGGGTGCAAGGTAAATTCTTTAGGTGGCATAAATTTTTCATTCTGTCAGGCAACAGAGGAGAACGATTCGCACTGCTGACAGAAAAGGCTGGTAGCTTGTATGGTCACATGTTACCTGCTGGAATTCAACACTTCCTGTACTGAATGGTGGCTGCACTACAGCCACGGACCCGTGCTCTTTCCCCTTACGCTCCCTGGAGACACTTCTTGTCCCTTAGATCAGCAGAGTTTGTTTAATTAGGTAAACAGTCAGCAGAGAGTTCAGCTATTAATCTAAGTGTGCTTCTTCAGAGGGATCTGAAAATTAGTTCTGCTCCATATCATTTTACTCGAAACACTCTAGAAAATGGGAACAAAGTCAAGGGGACGTTGTGGCTAACTCACTACAAGAGGGGCCCCTCACTACAAGAAAGATGTTGCGTTGCTGGAACGTGTCCAGAGAAGGACAACGGAGCTGGTGAGGGGTCTGGAGCCCAAGGCTGCTGGGGAGCGTCTGAGGGAGCTGGGGGTGTTCAGCCTGGAGAAGAGGAGGCTGAGGGGAGGGGAGCCCTTATTGGTCCCTACAACTGCCTGAGAAGAGGGGGAAGCCGGAGGGGGGGGGCGGGTCAGGCTCTGCTCCCAGGGAACGGGCGATGGACGAGGGGAAACGGCCTCAAGTTGTGCCAGGGCAGGTTTAGGTTGGACATTGTGAAAAATTGCTTCCCCGCAAGGGCTGTCAAGCACTGGAAGGAGCTGCCCAGGGAAGGGGTCGAGTCCCCATCCCTGGGGGTATTTAAAAGCTGGGCAGAGGAGGTGCTTAGGGCCAGGGTTAGGGGAACGGTTGGGCTCGGGGATCTTAAAGGGCTTTTCCAACCTAAACGATTCTATGATTCTGTGACACTGAATTCTTGGTTTGCTGTCCTAGATCCCTGTAATACAGATCATTCCTCTGCCGGACACCTGTAATCTCGTGTGTATTGCACTGGGAGATTTGGAGATTGGAGAAATAAGGTGGTGTGTTTATTTCTTACCAGTGCGTTGCACCCTGAATAGCTGCAGCTTAACTCTCCTCTTGTGTAGTGGTTGAAATAATCTCTTAGTAATGTGTGACTTTCTCGGTTGCTTTAGCAGTTAGAAAATATGGAAGGGATTTCTAAACATCACCTATGAAGACTTGCTTATTTGCCCCTAGAGGTGGTAGACTGTTTAGACATGTGCTTATCTTTATACGGAGTGTTTGAGTTATGCTTCCTTCCGTCATTGGGTGTACTTTTCTCTTAATTTAGGCTCTTGCTTTATTCTTCTGAGAATGACTCATTCAAGCCATCGCTAGTAAAAACTGGAAATATAAAAGCTGTTCTTGGGCTAAAGGATAGGAGGCTGGTCAGCAGCAGCAGGACTGTGCAAGAGCAGCAAGTGGAAATAGTGTCACTTTCAGAGGCAGGAAGGTGAGTCTGATGGGTTTGGGGTGGTCTCGGTGTGATGGGTGGAAGAAAAGTAAGGAAACATCTCGGATATGGAGAAGTGTCAGGTTCCTCTTCTTTGTGGAGATGTGCTGAAGACAGAACACATACTTGTTATTTTGACTGCCTTTTCTTGCTTGCTCATCTGCTGTTCAGGACCAAGGACGGACAGACTTTGATGCCCCCCGAAGAAACCGTTTTAGCTTTTGCTGAAGTGGAAGGCATGAGAGACGCCTTGGTTGGCACCACTGCAGTGAACAGCATTGTTGTTTGGTCAGTGTTTCCTTCGCAATTAAACGATTTACCTTGCAGGTGTACATGCTAGCCACAGACATTCTGTAGAGGTGTTGGTTGGCAGCTGGTTTGCCTGTGAAATGATAATTGTCAAAGGGCCTACAGCCCGGCACTTCAACTTCTAACAGTTGGATAGATGGCAGATGAACTATGCTGCGATAATTCCACTTGCTTTTGCGTCATATTCATTACATCTCTCCCTGTGGCCTCTTCTCTTGGTTTGGTTCATGTGAAACCAAATATGTGTCTGTCTTGCATAGCGGTGTAACTGATTTAGAAAATAACAGATAGAGGATGGAAACACAGTCAGAATTTGTATTTTCACCAACTGCAGGAATTTGAAAACAGGCCAGCTCCTGAAGAAGATGCACGTTGGTTATTCCTACCCAGCTTCCATCTGCCATCGAGCATATTCCGACTCTGTACGTATGTGAAATATGATGCGTGGATTGTGCATGACCTGCACTGACCAACCGTGGTGGGGACTTAAGGGATTAGGATTCCTGGAGTGGAGTGAAGTATCAGCTCTGTTCGGACACACCGAGGCTATTTCAAAGGAAAACAGGGTAACGAGGAGCAATAAGGCACCAATACCTCGAATTCTTGGCTTTCTGCAGTGTACTGATAAAATGAGAGGGATGCATCGAGTGTATTCCAAAGCAGCAAGCATCTTGGGCAGGGGAAGCAGAGGCGCTGTTGCCCAGTGCTGGTGCTTGGTAAGGTCTCTTCCATCTCCCGCCTGGGTAGCTGCTGGCGTGGTGACGGCACACTGCCGTTGTCGGGAAACCTGTTTGAAGTGGTTATTATTTACATGCACCCCGAGGATATCAACTGTTTAAACCCAAGATTCATACTAATGATTCTTTCCCACTTGCTTCCACCTGGGCTGTGATTCCAGAGGGATTTTTGTAGTTTGCCAAGGATTTGCTTGTTTTCGGTGAGCATCTAACCTTTTGGGGACAAGAATGTCTTGTCCGATAACGATGGCTGGAGTCGGACTCTTTGGAGACATCCACGGAATATCTGTCCCAGCGTATTTTGTGCTGGCCTGCGGCTGTTCTGAGAGCCACTGTTCTCAGCTGTACTGCTTTGCGTGGAACTCTTGTTAAATTTATAAGCTCCTGGAGATTAAAATGAGGCCCGGAAAATTTACTTTAAATGTCATCACATCCTGTAGGAAGTTTGGCTTTTTCGGGCAGAAAGATTAAGTGTGTAAATTCATTGGGTCACTGAGCTGCCATTCTGCCTTATTGCATCAGCCCTTATCAGCCAGCAGCTGCCTTGTTTTTTATCTAAATTGATAAGGAAAGCAAACCATTTCTGTTTATTCAGTAAAAATAATGCATCACTGTCCAGGGGCCTTTGATTATAGAGAGAATGTAGCAATTAATTTTTGGAAAATTCTTTGGGTTTTTTCCCCTCTTGCTGTTGTTTTTAGTGACGTATTTTTCCTCTGTGTATCAGGGCCTTCTGTTTGTTGTTTTAAGCCATCCACATGCCAAAGAGAGCGAGTCCTGTGGAAACCCCGCGTTCCGTGTGATAGCGTTCAACCCCAAAACAGCCAGGAGCACAGGAGTGATGTTCTCTTCCCTCCCGCCTGGGCACGCTGGAAGGCAAGTACCGCAGGGCCTCTGCGTGCTGGCTTCACGGCTCCTTTGGGGGGGTTTTGGGGGAGGATCGCTTAACGAGCCGCGTAGCATTGCTGGCGAGGATCCATTTGCCATCTTGCCCATGATAAGGAGGCTGCATCCGTTGCTGCCGTTTGTCCTGTACGTGGGCTGGAATGGGGCGAGGGTGTTGGCTGTTTCCTGCCCGCTTCCTGCGCCCGTCTGCGCGCTGACCTCTGAGCTCCCGGCCTCACCGCGCGGCAAGGGGCTCCGCTGGCAAACAGGAGCACTGATTTTCTGCGTGCGTATGCTTTTGTCCTTCTCCCCCCTCTTGTGAAAGAGCACTTTGCTAGGTTTATTTATGTTAGGCAGCTGTTTGCCGTCAGATGACCTTTTCCTTCCTATGTCTTGCATTTTGAAGACTAAGCTGTTTCAGACGCAGCCTTGCGATGCCCTTACATCCCTCGTCGTGCTTCCTACATACGCAAATATTAGCGGATTGAGATCTTGGCTTTACTGAACAATTTCCAAGTCTGTGCTGAGGCTGCAGAAGGATTGTCTCGACATCCTTCATTCTCGGGTGCGCTGAAGATGCAATGTGTAACGTTGCCTGGCTTCCTACAGTTGGCTTAAATTTGCTTATTAATTTTCTGTGTGAAAAACTAATTTAAAAATTATGCAAGAGTGTTTTCACAAACTGCAGTGCTGTGACCCTTCTGTGTGTGTATGACCGTAGGTACCTGGAGGGTGACGTGAAGGACACTTCTGCTGCGGCCGTGCTGACGTCGGGAGCCATCGCGGTGTGGGACCTGCTCCTGGGGCAGTGCACGGCCTTGCTGCCCCCGGACCCGGAGGGGAGCTGGGCGCTGGCCCGCTGGGCCACCACCGGTGCCTGCCTGCTGGCCGGGCAGCGGGATGGGACTGTTTGCCTGTACCGGTACCAGCAGCCCCACGCAGGAGAAGCCCGCTGG